AAAAAAAAAAAAAAAAAAGAAAAAACACAGAAATAAACCAACAGCTTGAGGCTGTCTACACTGGGCGTGACAAAGTGACCGTTGCAAATCATTTTGTGTCGGTACGAGGGGTGTGCGATATTGACAAAAAATAATATCTAATATATAATTTTATCGTTAAAGATAATTAGACAATAAATAAGTGTGTTATTGTGCTGATATAAGGACTACCATGGACAGCTGACTCCTAAAGTTTTTGATATATATTTCATATTCTGTGTGGTCAGTTCACAGCAGTGACATAAATTAATCTTTTCCAATAAGTTTAAATAGATTTTTACCTTTTATGGTCATTTTTACCTTAAAAAGCAGTTACAAATGCATAAATAATGTTTTGATATTTTAAACAATAAATGTTGAATACTGACATTTGCAATTGTTTTAAAAATGAAAAGATACTTGAAATGTAAAATTAAAACAATTAAAACCGCCAGTTTTTTTTTTTCTAAACGGCATCTTCGTGTGATATTGATTAACTGTATGAAATGATATAAATATATACATTTTCTGCCCCCTTATCTTGAATTATGTGATCATCTTAATGCATATTAATAGACTGAATCATGCAGTGAAAGAACGCACTCTAAATGGGCACACGCACTAAAGCCTGTGTTGGTCTAACCAGACTTCATCACGTAGTCGCTTTTGCGTGCACTCTGTAGGTGTGTTTTGTTTGGTTTTTGCAATATATTCGATAATGTCATAATGTCTCACGAGTTCAGTATGTGCGCTAAACCTGCGCAGATTTGGCTTGCATGAACTTCCCCAAGAAATAAATGAGTGAACATAACTTATAAAAAGTAACCCGCCAGTTAGCCCCCGGCTAGTGATTTGACAGCGTTACCCACCACAGCTGATATTTACCCGCATTTGGCGGGTTGGTGGGTGTTAATTTCAAACCCTGATCGGGTTGGTTGATTGGTGTGGTTGAATTTAACAGAATAAGTTACTAAGTTAGCAAAACCTCTAAATAAACAGCTTTGTTGCACTTTTAAGTGGTGAGATATACTATGACTAATAAGACATCTTACTCAACAAACAGGAGACTAAATACATAGTGTGGATCAAGCTGACTTAAAGGGGTCATATGATGCTATTTCAATTTTTCCTTTCTCTTTGGAGTGTTACAAGCTCTTGGTGCATAAAGAAGATCTGTAAAGTTGCAAAGACTAAAGTCTCAAATCCAAAGAGATATTCTTTATAAAAGTTAAGAGTCAGCTACGCCTACCTAAAACGGCTCGTTCTAACACGCCCCCACAT